CCATTCTGGGGAGCAATTTGGAATTATGCCCCAAAGGCTATAAAACTATGCATACCCTCTGATCCAGCAATATCACTGCTAGGTCTGTACCCCAAACAGATCGAGGAAAATGGAAAAGGACCTATGTACTCAAACAATATTTATAGCAGCGCTTTTTGTGGTGGCTAAGAATTGGAAATTGAGGAGGTGCCCATCAATTAAGGAATGGATGAATGAGTTGTGGTGTATGATTTTAATGGAATATTATTATGCTGTAAAAAATGAGAAAGCAAGATGATTTTAGAAAAACTTGGAATGACTTATACGAACTGATGGAAAGTGAAGTGAGCAGAACCAGGAGAACATTGTACACAGTAACAACAATATTATACGATGAAGAATTATGAATGACTTAGCTATTCTTAGCAATATCATCCAAGATAATCCAAAGGACTCATGATGAAAAATGCTATTATCCTCCAGAGAAAGAACTGATGTTATCTGAATACAAAAATTAAGCTCACTCTTCTTCTTTCTTCCTTTATTCCTTCCTCCCTTTCTTTTTCCTTTCCAGACTTCTTACACAAAATGACTAACATGGAATAATTTACATGCTTGCACATGTATAACCTATATCAAATTGCTTACTGTCTTAGGCATGAAGGAGGGGAGAGAGTGAGGGATAGAATTCTGAATTCAAAATAAACAAAAAGAATGTTAAAAATTGTTTTTACATGCAATTGGAGAAGAAATAAAATATTTTTTAAAAGTGCTATTTGTGAAATCAGATAGCTCTCTGAGAAGGGGATGTACTGGGAAAAACTATGATGATGTAAAAAACTAAAAGATATTAATTCTTTTTTTTATGAACATAAATTAAACCTCTGTATGCATTTTGTGTTTTCTACTTGCATTCTGATCTCTCTTTACAAAGCTTTTAGTCGATTTTTAAAAAATGAGATTTCCTGGAATATGGTGTTTAGACTTCTTGCTCATATTTTCTGCAAGACCAACAATTCTCAGACTACCTCATCAAGTTCTGTCACTTTGGTTTGTAGAGGTAAGAAGTATTTTTCCAGTTGATTCTTTTAAAAAAAATATATATATATATGTACACACACACACACACACACACACACACACAATTGTTCTTCCAACCCTCCATTTTGGGTGGGCTTTCTTCTTTTATTTTTTTATTTTGCTCTGCCCAGGCCATTTTATTATTTCTCAGAGTCCAATGCTGTGTTAAGATTTTCTACCACCTTTTCTCTTCATTTGAATTTCAAATCATCTTACTGTATGCTGCCTTCAATGGTCTATTTTTATACTGGATATTCCTTTATATTTCTTACTGAAATCCTAAATTATTCTGGAAGTTCCTGAAGTTATTCCATATTCTTTTTGGGAGGGTAGAGGAGGGAGAGGTCCTAGTTGTTGCTGAAGTCTTGTTCTTTCACACCAGCAATTTCTTTGCTTTCTTTTATCCTATAATACCCATACTACAGGTAGGTCACCATAAGGTCAAATAACAAATCCCATGAAGTAGTCACAATATTCAAATTTGCCCTGCATATTTCTATTGGCCTGAAACCAGTGACTGTATTCGACATAATTATAAATTCAAATAGTATAAATTCCAATATATGCAATTACTATGGGATTCATTATTTGAACTAATCCAGACTTTATTATATTTATTCATTGTACTGGGTGAAGAAGTGTTTTTGTTTACCCATTTCTTCAGTTTCTTAGCTTCCCTTTCAGATCTTTCCCATAAGGATTTCTCTCCCTCTTTTTTTTAAAATTAAGTATATTTGTTGCTTTTCTTGAAGTGACATAAAGGAGCAGAGTTTGCTTATGAATTAATTACTCATCCATATAGCCAAAGTCTCTAATAATGTTATTGTTAATCATAACAATAACTATATCTAACATAGTATTTTAAGGTTTATGACACTTTCATCACAACAACCTAGGAAGCAGGCAGTGTAACTATTATTACTACCATTTCAATGATAAGGAAACTTAGGCTTAATGTTGTCCAGGGTCAGAGAGCTAATACATGGTAGAGCCTGGAACGAAACTCTGGTTTTGGGATGGCAAGGAAAATGCTACACCTTTCGAATACAATGTTAATTAACTGTTTTTCTTCCTTACTCCATTTGTACTTCTTTCTTTCTAATATTCCTACAAGTGTTTAAGGATAAAGTGAGTACCAACTACTTTAGAAAATGGCAAGTATTCTCACTCCTGAACCCATTAATTGTTTGAGTAGAAAATTTTACATTCAAAGCCTTTAAAACAAAAACTACAGAACAATGAAGATAATCCAAATCAAGCCCAGAGAAAGATTATAATCAATGCCAGTAGCTGAGATTTCAATGCTAATCTCAGGCGAGAACTACTTATTTGGTTTCATTTATTATGTTTTAAAACATACTTCTAAAACTGTGACATTCATGGATGTTTAACAGAATGCCAAAAACAAACATTACTCTAGCCCTTCTACCAAATCCTCTATGAGACAGATTCAGGATTCATTAAACACTCAGCCCTGGGTAGAAATACAATAGTAGACTCCCAGACAGAGCCCTTACGTGAGGGGACAACTAATATGAGTAGATCTCAAATTACACAGAGATCCTGACACGCCAAGAGAAAGTCTAAACCACTTAGCAACCAGTGTAGAAGAGGAGTTATTTATAATTCAGGAACAATAATGCAACAACTATAAACCACAGAAAATTAGATAATATCCCACCAATGTGTCCAGCTTGAGAATATAGCAAGTTAAAACTGTGGGACCTGGATTTTTCTTTTACATTATTATTTAAAAGTACTACATACCACACATACTATACACAAAGTTTATTAAGCTTCTTCTGGGTAAAGAAGCCCTAGGACCATGTTTGACACTTTCTTGTATCTTCAATGTCTAGAACATCATTTTGTATATATTGGCTGATAATAAACATATATCTATTTTATAAATAAGAGATATGGAAACAACTTATGTGTTATTATTAACTGAGCTGTTTATAAAATACTGGCTTGCTATCAGGAGCTAATAATAGTGGTAATCAAACCCTCAACACATTACTATTCAGAATAATAATAATGATGATGATAATAATAGCTATCATTTTTATAGTGCTTTAAGATTTGCAATGTGCTTTTACAAATATTAACTTATTTTATCCTTGAAACAACCCTGGTAGTGCAGTATTACTATAATTCTCATTTCACAGGTGAGGAAACCGAGGCAGTCTAAGGTGAAGTGACTTGCCCAGGGTCACAAACCAAGTAAATGACTGAGGCCTGATCTAAACCTTGATCTTCCTAACTCATGGCCCAGCACTCTAACCACTGCACCACCTAGTTGCTTCATGAGAACTAAACCATTTAACAACTAAACATATCTTCCAGAAATTTTTTCTATATTTAGAGAACCAAAGGAACACCAATGTTTTATACTATTACAATAATAGTGTTATCACATCTGCCCTTTTTTGTTCTCTGCAGCACACTACAGAAATTTCATTAGATCATGTTACCATACTGAGATAACGCTTCCTTCATATACCATAAACCATTTTAAATTATTGAAAATTCTGTCCCCTCCCAGGAGGACTTTTCATAGTCACTTCCCACAAGCTAAACGTACTTCACCTGCCCTTCCTCCACCCCATGTAATTCTCCTTTACCCTCAATTCCCTTTTTAACTTGACTGAAGTTGCCAAGATCACACACTGACTTCAACCCCATGCCAAGTATGACCATTGTGCCATATTGAAAAAGCTGCTACAGCTCAAGGATTCTGAGCTTTCCTTTGTCAGAACTTTTCTGCCAAATTCAGAAGGTGGATATGAGACTGTTACATGTTACACATTACTGTGAAAGGCAATCTTTACCGCCTTAGAGTTAGGGGAAAAAAGTAAACAATTATCTCCTTTCCTCAATTCTCCCTTCACCTTAAAAAAAAAAAGTTAAAATTGCAAATTCCTAAAAAATCATGCCTGGTCTCTTGAGGTTATTCTGTTACCTCAATTTTATCTATCAACACATCCAGAAGCTTCTTCTAACCAGACTTCAGGTAACTGAACTAAAAATGAAGCTCTCTTCAAGAGAGCAAGTTTCTGTAAATCATAAAAACTAGCTAAGCTCAGAGGTACATAGACCACTGTTGACATACTTGGGACTTAAGTTTACTGGATGAGCAGCTAACCATTCAACTACTTCCTTCATAGTTAAATGTGGCTAAAAAAAAAAAAGACTTTGCTCTTCATTCCTGCTTTGGTTTTTCATACCTTGACCCTATATCACCATATAAAGTGACAATAAACCCTGGCAGAGGATTCAGACTCCATGCAGGGGTAGGAAAGAGGTTAAAACATGCAACTGTGCAGCAACATTTTCAGACACAATATATTTAAAAAACAAAACAAAACAAAAAACCCCAGCACAAGAAAATCATAACCGAGTCAGCCCAAGAAGATAGAATTAGTAACTTCATGTGATCAAAAACAAAACCAAGGCAAACATCCACCAAGTTAAAAAATTCACATCAGTTATGACTGGTAAGACCACTGAGGATTCAAATCCAAAGACAACTCAGCTACTTGAAAGAAAATCTTTGCTACCCAGGAAAAGCCCCACTGCTTCCCCCAAAAGGCTTGGGGCTGACTGAAAGAAACTCTCAAGAGGCCCAAATCTTCCTGCAGAGTTTTTCAGGTTGAGTTTAATAGGCATAGGGTAGTTCTCACTAAGGAAAAAGTGTACTAGTCAGTGTTTCTTAAACTGTGGGTTGCGACCCCATATGGGGTCCCACCATCACAACCCATAGATTAAGAAGTGCTGACGGCGTTGCAAATGGAAAAAGTTTAAGAAGGCCTCTACTAGACTATGGTATCAGTGACATCTCAGAGGCATATCCTGAGCCAATACACATCTGTGGCATCAGTCATGGCAGAAAGGCTGTGCAAGGCTACTAATTTAGTGGATTAGGACAGGCAGGTGCCTACCAGTCTCTGCTGCTCCAATAAGAGGTCAGCTTCTTCTTTCTCTTTCTTATACAAGATTTCCATTTCCTGGAGCCTATAAAACAAGAGAAGGGGAAAAGAATCAAACTGGAGGCAGAAAATTAAGCAACTCCACAGAGTTACATTAAAAAGTCTCTTTTGACAGATTGCACACAAAATCTTTATTGCTGCATTTTTGTTATTTTACTCAGTCCATACAAACTAGTACAATAGAAAACCCAAAAATCAGGTGAACCTTAAGATCTATTCCAGCTCTAAGATACTATAATTCCTATTATTTCCTTTAGAAGACCCATCTTTAAGTGTGTGGCCTAGGAAATGAAGACATGGCCATGAATAGCTCTTCTAGCCTTCTCCAATGATTACTTTAACAAACTGAATATCAGGATGACTAATCAAAACAAGGAATTTACAGATTACCTTTTTTCCATCTCCTGTTTCATATCAATGCCTTGTTTCTCTAGAAGCTCTCTCTGGGCAAATGTCCAGTCGACTGGTTCAGAAGGTGTCTCAGCTGATGGAGTCTTTTCACGCTCGGCCCGTGCTTGCTCCGGATGGTTGAAACGAAAAACGTGATTTTTACCCATGATGATGCGATTTCCTAGCATAAAATAAAATCAGACTTAGAGAACCTCAGAGAATCAACTAAAAAACCTGTCAAAACAACAACTTTACTCAAGTTGCAGGATGTAAAATAAACCTACACAAGTCATCAGCACTTTCTATATATATTATCAACAAATCTAGCAGGAAGAGATAGAAAGAGAAATTCCATTCAAAGTAACCACAGACAGTATAAAATCCTTGGGAGTCTACCTGCCAAAAGATACCCAGGAACTACATGAACAAAAAGATAAAACACTTTTCACATAAATAAAGACAAATCTAAACATCTGGAGAAAAATTAATTGCTCATGGGTAGGCTAAGTCAATATAATCAAAATGACAGTTCTACCTAAATTAATTTACTTACTCAGTGCCATACCCATCAAACTACCAAAGAAGTATTTTTAAAGACCTAGGAAAAAGGGGCAGCTAGGTGGTGCAGTGGATAGAGCACCAGCCCTGAAGTCAGGAGTATCTGAGTTCAAATTCGGCCTCAGACCAAACACTTGACACTTACTAGCTGTGTGACCCTGGGCAAGTCACTTAACCTCAACTGCCTAAAATTAAAAAAAAAAAAAAAAGAAAAAGATCTAGGAAAAAAAAATAAAATTCATCTGGAAGAACAAATGATCAAGAATATCGAGAGAATAAATGAAAAAAAATGTAAAGGTAGCCTAACAGAACCAGATTTCAAACTATTTTTACAAAGCAGTAATCATCAAAACAATCTGATACTAGCCAAGAAATAGAGATTGATTAGTGGAATCGATTAGGCCCACAATACACATAGTAAATAACTATAGTAATATAGTGCTCAATAAACCCAAAGATCCAAATCGGGGGGGGGGGCAAGAACTCATTATTTGACAAAAAATGCTGGGAAAACCAGAAAGCAGTCTGACAGAAATCAGACATACATCAACATCTCACACCATATACCAAGATAAGCTTAAAATGGGGACATGATTTAGACATAAAGGGTAATATCACAAGCAAATTAGGGAAACATGGAAGAAATTATCTATCAGATCTCTGGATGAGGAAAGAGTTTATGACCAAATAAGAGACAGAGAAGATCACAGGAAATAAAATGGATAATTCTGATTACATGAAATTAAAAACTTTTCATACAAACAAAACCAATGTAGCCAAAATTAGAAGGAAAGCAGGAAACTGGGGGAAAAATTTTTACAGTAGGTTTCTCTGATAAAGGCTTTATTTCTCAAATATACAGAGAACTGAGCCAAATTTATAAAAATAAGAACCATTCCCCCATTGATAAATGGTGAATGGATATGAATGGGCAGTTTTCCAAAGGAAAAAAAATCAAAGGTATCAATAGTCATATAATATCTCATATCATGCTCTAAATGATTATTGACTAGAGAAATGCAAATTAAAACAGCTCAAAACTGTTCAAAGCTCACTTCACACCTATCAGATTGGCCAAGATGACAGAAAAGGAAAATAACAAATACAGGAGAGGATGCAGAAAAATAGTGATACTAACATATTTCTGGTAGACCTGTGAACTGGTTCAACCATTCTGGAGAACAATCTGGAACTATGCCCAAAAGGCGAGAAAGTTGCACATACTCTTTGACCCAGCAATACCACTACTAGGTCTGAATCTCAAAGAGACAAATGAAGAAGGAAAGGATCCGTATGTAGAAAAATACTTATAGCAATATTTATTTAAATTTATAGAAATGATGAGGGGGGATAGTTTCAGAAAAATCTAGGAAGACTTAAATAACTGAAGCAAGCAGAACCAGGAGAACATTGTACACAGTAATAGCAATATCGTACAATGATCAAATGTGAAAGACTTAGCTATTCTGATCAATTCAATGATCCAAGATTAATTCCAAAGGACTGATAAAAAAAAAAACCACTATCCACCTCCAGAAAGAGAACTGGTCAACTATGAGTGAAGACTGAAGCATATTGTTTTTCACTTTATTTTTCTTGCTCTTTTTTTCCAACATGATTAATACAGAACTATATTTTATACAAGTTTAACATACTATGGTGGGTACCACACTGCTTTGCCTTTTCAATGGGTGTGGGAAACTGGAGGGAGGGAGAGAATTTGGAACTCAAAATTTAAAAAAAAAAAGAGCAAAACAATAAAATCAGGATTAGGAAACCATTCAAAAATACAATTAACAAATATCTGCAACCTCCCTTTGTCTACTAAAGGAAGAAACAGAGTAGACTATATATACACAAACATCTCACTTTAGCCCACTGCTTTCAATAAAAAGACAAAATCAAAGTATTATTCATACAAGCTTCTACCTGAAACATAATATTTGTATTAGGAGCTTTAAGAATCTGTCCACACTTACCTGAGCGTAGCTGTACATGCTGTACAACCCTCTTGCCATTGACATAAGTTTCAGAGCGCTCACAAGGTTCCAAAGTCACAATAACTACAAGAAAGGTAAAATGGAGTTAGGATTACAAACCCATTGCACTGAGTACTGGAAGTATTCCTGAACTCAGTGAATTCCAAATGCAGAATAAAGAACCTAGCTCTCACTCAAAGCCCCTTTACAATAATATAAAACTATGACCATGTCATTGCTAGACTAAATTCATTGAACTATCTAAGAGCATAAAGTAACTATATTCCAATTTAATCTTTGTGACAAGATTAAAGAGAGGAATAGCACCCATTAAAGTTACATAAATTATGTGAACTACTGCTAAAATAGCAGAATGAATAGGCTGGAATAGAAGTTTTTTTTTTTAAATCTCCTTTGGGTAATGAAAAAGCGAATACAGTCTTAAGCATCATCTAAAAACAGTTCCCTCAAGAAAGCAGGAAACAGAAAGGAGGGATGTCCTGAAGAGGAAGAGTTAGGTAAACATCTGAAATCTTGAAGCAACTAAGGACTATAACATTTTGACTGAGGAAGAATGAACAGAGCACAAAAGTACTGATTTTTTTTTTAGCTTAGGATAAGTGAGGATTGGAACTTTTTTTCCCTTTTCACATAAAATAAAAATCAAGTCCACTGAGTAAAAGCCTAGATGGAGTTCCTGCAGGCCTCTGTCGATGTCAATTTGCCTTCTGCCTTCCTTTCTATGAAATCATCACTATTCAGGGCCATACTCAGCTGCCTATACACTCTTCAGTGGCTGGCAGGGCAACAGAGCTCCACTTTGTTGAGGTCATTTTCATGTAAAAAGCTACACCGGCCCCTGCATTTCTAAGGAAACCAGGGTTCTCCACTATGGATAATACGCTATGCTGACTCTAAAGACAATGTTAGGGAAAACTCTATCTGGGCTTTTCAGAATAGAGAATAAAACTGAAATCAAGGATGCTCACCTTCACCATTCTGATTTCTCTCACTCCGGAAGATACAGTGCTCCTCTTTAATGTGAGCCCCACTAAGCACTATATCTTGGCGTCGTTCAGCATCTGCTTGGCCAACCCTGCATCAAAAAGAAAATGTTTCCCAGGAACAATGGGGCACAAGAAACAGGAGAAAACAGACATGTTCATGGCATTACCCAGTTTCTAATTAAATACTGGGTTAAGATCAGTATTAAAAACTGCATATTAAAATTATATTTTAGTATATCATAAAGATCTAGTATCAAAAAAATTTGAATCAAAGTGATTTGGCACATTAAGGTGAGCAGCTCAATGTTTCAAGAAGGCAAACAAGACTTTAAGCTTCCTTGATAACACTGAAAATGCTTTTAAGAATATTATTACCCAATGTCTTACAGGGGGAAATTACCCATAACAGGAGTCATCATGGAGACTACATTAGCAAAGAGCATTTTGTAACTTGAGAAGGGTTAAAGGGCCAGTTTCAGACAAACTACTTCAAAAAGAAAAAAAGGGCAATTCACAAAAATGAGTTTTTCAAAGGAGAACATCACTCTAGTTATTAAATCAGCTATTTAATAAGTAAAATAAAGCCTTACTAAAAAAAAGAAAAAAAATATTTACCGTGTAATGCCATCTTTGATGTAGTAAAGCAAGCATTCAGACATGAGTGGATCTTCATTGAGGTTAACAAGATGTGGTGTCTGAAAAATATTACAAACATTCTCAATCCAGAAGAAGATTAAAGCATTCCTTAGAGGGCCAGCTGGAGCTAACTAGATCCCACAAGAGACTAATGGTTTATCTCTTCTTTTCCCATCAGTGTACAAAAGGAACTTTCTTTGCCACCAGAACAAACTGTGGCAGTTCCATAATAAGGCAAAATTTCTTCATGTTACACCTTGTCAATATGCTCAAATTAATTTTCTTAAAAATGGAAATTTTTAAAATAATAGTAGAGATTAATTTTAGAGAGAGACAAAGCATAAGAGGCATGAGACAGGTTGATTTCATGGATTAAGCTAACTCAGTTCCAATTCTTAGAAAGAAAAAGTGAAAACGTCTACAAAATACTACACAAATAAGGTATGTAGTAAAACAAACTCAATCCTCATAGTCACAAAATATGCCCAATTATTTTCCTTTATTCCTCTCTACCTTCTGCTACTTCTCCTCAAGTACATTCTGTGGCTTTGGTTTAGTATAATAATCTAAGTTAGAAAGAAAAATCTAAATGAATGATACTTGTTAATATAAGCATATATGTTTATTTAGAAGACCTTTTCACCCATTTCTACAATGTTTCTAAAACTCTTTAAAACCAACCTTCTTTGGTGAAAATACCCCACTGGAATCCACAAATAAGTCACATGGTCTTGGGGTAAAAATCTAACCAGGGTAAGGCAGCAAGATATGAAGAACAAAAGAAGAGTTAGAGGGCAGTTAAAGAAATGAAAGCAGGAAAGAGGGTGCAGAGGTTCCCAAAGAATAACAAAAAGCCACTTCCCCCAAACCAGAAACTAACACTATAATAGGTAAAAAATGGGAATATTTGGATATAAAACTTTGGAATTAGATCCTAGGAATCATCAGAACTCCTCTGGAAGTTCAGACTACTGTCCATATGTATTATATTTAATAAGTCACTTAACAATGAAGCAGTTTTACAATCCTATGTGTGAAATATATACAAGAGAATGTTTTATTTAAAAGATTTTTTTAAAGTCCTGTTCTGAAAGCTCCATAGTACCATCCATTAAGGAAATTGCAAGAGCTATATGGACAGCAGTTTTAAAGTCAAAAGATATATCCTCAAAGTGACAAAAGGGGGATAGCAACTCAAGAAACCGAAATCAAGCAAGTAGCTTCCAAAACTTAGTTTTGATCACTTCCATGGGCATCAATCATTTCCCTTTCTCATGAAGTTTATTTAGAAAGCCCAAGTAAAATATGAAGGGAACGTTAGGAAATGATAGGATTTCAGTTAGTGTTTTATAACTCATGTTAAATGCAACTGTTGTTTTCAAAAATCAAACAGTACAAAAGATTCCTTTTCTAGATCATAAGGAAATCTCTAGGTCCCATGTAGACTCCACCTAAATTTTATCAAACATAGCCTTGTGCAAGTTTCCCCAAATGTTATAGCTAAATAAACAAAGCCCACTTAAGAAGAAATTTAAGCTACTAACACTTGGTAATCTAAATTAATATATCAAAAAGACTTTTTGCCTAGCCTTAAAATGTTTCTAAAATTTCTTGAAACCAATCTACTTTAGTCAGCCAACAAGCATTATTTAATTAAATTGGAATTTATTTTATTTTCATCTCCAAATTCTCTTTCTCTCCAAATTTGATGCTAGAAAAAAAAAAACAAACTAGTCCCAACATGTAAAGTTAAGTAAAACAAACTCCTGCATTAGCTATGTTAAATAAAACACACACACAAATACAAGTGCCTTAGTCTGCATTCTGACTCCATCCCCTCTCTGTCAAGAAGTTAGCCACGTGCTGTGGAACTGCGGTTGGTCACTGCATCGATCAGAGCCTCTAAGTCTTTCAAGGCCGTTTTGTCTTTACAATATTTCAGCAAGCATTTACTAACTGCTTGCTTGTGTGTGTCGCAGCGTGCCAAATGCAGATAATAACAAAAAATGAAAAAAACAAACAAACATCCATGTCCTCAAATCAAAAAGCATTTATTAAGTGCCTATGACGTGCCAAGCACTATATGCTAAATCCTGGAGATTCAAAGAAAGTCAAAAGCAATTTCAGTTCTCAAGGAGTTCATATTTTAATAGGGAGGCAATATGCAAAAAAAAAGTATATAAAAGATATACAGAACAAAAACGTAGTGTAATCTGAGGGAAGGCACTAGCAGATGGGCATGGGGAATGGGAAGGACCAGGAATGACCTCTGTGAGAAGGTGGGATTTGAGCTTCAGGGAAACCAGCAGAGGAGGCCTGAGTGAAGATAAAGAACATCCCAGGCATGAGTGAAAAGGCATGGAGGCAAGAGATGGAGCATCTTGTTCAAGAAATAGCAAGAAGGGAAGCTTCCCTGGATTATAAAATATGTAGAGGAGTAAGGCGTAGGTAGATTTGAAATATAGGAAGGAGTTAATTTGTGAAAGGCTTTAAAAACCAAATAGGATTTTATTCTAGAGGTAAAATGGAGCCACTAGAATTTACTGAGTAGAGGGATAGAGGTGATATGGTCAGAGCTGCATTTTAGGAAGTTCACTTTGGCAGCTGAATAGAGGATAGACTGGAGTGGGGAGAAACTTTAGGCAAGGAAACCAATGAGAAAGCTATTGCAATAGCTTAGGAATGATGTGGTGGAAGCTGTATGAGTGGAGAGAAGGGATGTAAACTAGAAATGTTGTGAAGATGGAAACAATAAGACTTAGCAGGAGATTGGGTGTATGGAGTAAGTGTGAGAGAAGTTAAGGATGACACTGAGGTTGTGAACATTCATGACTATGAATATGATGGTGCCCTTGATAGTAACAGGAATTTGGGAAGAGGTGAGGATTTTGGGAAAAACAGAATGAGCTCTATTGTGGACACACTGAATTTTAGATATCCAAGAGGCAGTTGGTGATGCAAGCCTGGAGTTTAAGAGAGGTTAGGGCTGTATATACAGATCTGGGAATTATCTACACAGAAATGATAATTGAGTCCATGTGAGTTCATGAGATCACCAAGTGAGATAGACCAGAGGGAGAGGAAAAGAGGGACCAGTACAGACCTTTCAGGATACTCATGATCAGCAGACATAATATGAACGATGACCCTTCAACAATGGAGACTGAGGAGAGGTCTGATAGGTAGCTAAAAATCCTAGAGAAAGCAGTGTCATGAACACCAAGAGCTAGCTAGTATTCAGAAGGGTGACTGACAATGTCAAAAGCTTTGAAGGATGAGGATTGAAAAAAGACATTAGAACTGGCAATTAAGAAATCATTGGTAACATTAGACAGCAGTTTTTAGTGGAATGATGAGTTTGGAAGCCAGTTTGCAGAAAATTTAGAAGAGACTGGGAGGAGAGGAAGTAAAAGAACCTAATGTAGATGATTTTCTCAGGGAGTTTAAATGAGAAAGAATTTCAGAGACAAGGGATGACAGACGAAATGATAGGTTTTTTAAGGATGGGGGAGATATGGGTAGGATTGTAGGTAGCAGAGAAGCCAGTAAATAGGAAGAAACTGAAGAATGCTGAGAGAAAGAGAGGATGATACAGGGCAATCTGCTAGAGAAAACTGGATGGAATAGGATCATTTGTGCATGTAGAGAGGTTTATCTTGGCAAGAAAAATCACTTCTTTAATATAAGAAAGGAATGAAGGAGGATATACTGAGGGACTCTGAGTCCTGTGGAATGAGAAAGAGGAGCTTTCAATTTTTTCATGAGAGTATAAAGCAAGGTTCAGCTAAAAAAAAAAACCCACCAGAATTAGCCCCTGTAAGTAAGGTGGATTTTTGTTACTCTGTCTTATAGTTTAGTTCCCAGGCTCCATGGCCATAACAATCTCTAGTTTCCAGATGTTAGGTAATATTTCTCAGGCTCATGACTTATAAACATCTCATCACGTTTGCACAGCATTATATAATGATAAATAATATAAACATTTGTGCTTAAATTGTATATATCCACTGCGACTGCACAGTGAGATATAACAATGAGGTAATGTAAAATTGTGAGGCTACTGTTGGCAATATTCCTTCTTTGTCTGTTGCTTTATAAAGCAAATGGGCACTGGTCAGTGAGTGGGGAACCCATTTTGGGATTTGGGTAATGCCTAAAGGAATGCATGTGCCTGTCTTGATCAGTCCCCATCAAATCTTGGGGGGGTGGGAATCTGTGTGTTTGCCTCAACCAGCCCACGTTGAGGCTTAGGGGAAGCTAGGAGTCATACTCCTATTCTCACCCACCCCTGTGAGATGGGTGATTAGGGAATGCTGCAGGAGTTGGTGCTCCCATTATCAGTATCCCTCTTGAGAAGACTAGACTAGAATAAAGTAAGCTTATTTAACCCCTCCGAAGCTGTCTTCCTGTACTTCTGGCTGCCCAGATCAAGAGTGAACCTGTTAGAGGCTGGAGCCTAAAAACTCCAGTGCTTCCTGTGTTGTTACTTGTCTTATAGCACCTTCTCCTCCCCTCCTCCAAAAAAAGTCACATGGCTTTGAGGGGAAAATCTAATCAAAAGATACAGGAGGTCAACAATAACAACAATTCCCTATCACCAAACCAGAAATGCTAATGATATAAAATTTGCTCTGCTCCCTCTACACTAATATAAGGAGTCCATCTTTAAACCCCTTTAAACATGAGGACAATAGGCAAGTAAGTGTCCAAGGCCAAATCTATCATTCGAACTGAGTGACCAATTAAATAAGTTGTCTTAACCATAAATATTTTATACACTGAATCCTCCTGGTTTGTCATTATCATTAAACACACGCACACATGAACTAAACAGTTAAACAGTAATTTTCAATTATAACTAGGCTACAACATAATAAAAATTCATAAAAAATTTTATAATTGTAAAATAAAAAATACAACAACAGGCTAAAATGGACATTATACAAAATAAACGTTATAACTATGTTTGCTGCAGATGGTTACAAGAATCGTACAAAGGAAAAGCAAAGAAAGGAGGAGATGAGATGGCTAGGGTGGACCTAAAGGGCTTTATATAGTATAGTGATTGGCAGAGGTAGAATTAACTAGTTTCTACACAGCTAATTGTCTAAAAGAACTTCCCTACACAAACCTGGTCGGCTGAAAATTCTTCCAAAGAGTCATCAAATAGGTTTGATAGCCTCTGAGGGAAAAACTACATGAGAGATGAGCCATAGCTGAAGCAACATGGGAAAAAAAAAAACCTTAGCAGGATGATGAATAAATATGGTGGAGTATAAATACGATTTCAATAGCAGACATACTGTCTCAAGTTTGTTATTTATAATTACTAAAGTACAATGCAGAGACACAAGTTGTTCTTGTATTGAAGGCACATCTTAAAATGAAACCAGTAAAATTAAAGCCATATAACAAGATGAAAAGGGATTATCTCAAAGATATGAGCTGCTTGAGTGACTAATACCGAAGAGAGAACTCAGAAAGTAGGAGGTATTTCCATTTGATTAGGACAAATTTTTCCAACCTTTTTCGGTGAAAAGACACCCAGAGTTCCTCCATCTTCCCGAATGGCAACTCCCATTTCAGCTAATAAGGCCTCTCTAGAAAAAGCGAGATAAGCACATCAATGACACATTTTTTATACTTCAGTGGAACTGACACTAAACTGAGAAACGCAGTAAGTGAATCAAAATAAGTTTATGGTACAGAGTTAAACACTCTAGGTATTTAAAGGCTACACTAACAGGATATAAGTTATGGCATTTCCTACCAAGCTACAAAAGCTTTGAATATGACCTGGCAACAAGTAATTTAAAACATTTTAAAAATAATTTTAAAAATCACTCAGCTTTATTGGTAAAAATTATTATAAAGTATCCATTCCAAATACATATTTTAAGCTTATGCATTATAAAAAATGAGCATATGATATAAACTTACTACACAAAATAACACTCTGCAAAACCCTAAAATTAAATCTGAGAAAAACATATCTATGATGGTCAAGAGTAGATGAATTAAATCACAACTTTATTTACAAAAATACTCATCAAGAAGTATTTTTGATAGCTGCCTCAGTCTGCCACAAACTAAATCTTAACTGGGGAGTTTGTTACATTTCCTTAAGTACGTTTATTGAGATAAAAACCAAAGTATTCCGACAAATCTGTCAACTCAGATATTACTTCTTAATCAAAATAAAACAGAAGTCAATTTTAAGAGAAAAAATATCTACTTCATATTGAAAATCTTCACTAAGGCCTCTGGAATAAGGTTGTGTTTTGTTTTAAATAAAAAAGAAATAATGTTTATGAAGATAAGTTTGAGTAAACATTTTGCTTTTACTCTCAGCAACATGTGAGCCTTTATGCACAAATACATTCTCCTAAAAGAGTAGTATTTCTTTTTGTTTTGTTTTGTTTTTAAGAGTAGTATTTCTTCACCAAATAAACAGTTCTATCATCAGAAAATCAATTGGAAGAGAGGTTTATTACCTGGTAATACATTTTTTTCAGCCCCAGCAACTCATGAAGACTGACCTACTGAGGCAGGGAAGAATTGAGATCTGTACCAAGGAAGAAATTACCTACACTGATGAAACGGCTGAACCTCACAAGCATGAATTAAAATATGCTCAATTCACGTACTAAATTAATACATCAGTCAGTACTGCCTCGAAGGGCTTTCAAGAAAGAAAAAAATGTTTTCTGAAAAAAACTTATTTAGAAACAAAAAGTACTTCATTATTGCCTATGAGTAGGGTAGTAAAGAAAAGGGAGGAAAAAAAATTTTGGAAATTAAGTTACGTTTTATTCCCCAAATGATAAATGGCTAAAGCATAGGAACAGGCAGTTTTTCAATGAAGAAGTCATAACTATATATAGTCATATAAAAATGCTTTAAACTATCACTGAACAGAGAAATGCAATTAAAACAACTTTGAGGTATCATCTCACACCTATCAGATTGGCTAAAATGACAAATGTTGGAGGAAATGTGGAAAAATTGGGACACTAATACACTATTGGTGGAACTGTAAACTGATCTAACCATTTTGGAGAGCAATCTGGAATTGTGCCCACAGAATTATAAAATTATGTATACCCTTTGAACCAACGATACCACTATTAGGTCTGTTTCCCAAGTTGATTGGGAAAAAAGGAAAAGAACTTATATGTTTTGAAATATTTATAGCAGCTCTCTTTGTGGTGGCAAAGAACTGAAAACTGAGGGGATGCCCACCAATTAGGGAATGTCTAAATAAGCCATGGTATATGATTATGAAGGAATACTATTGTGTGGCTGATTTTAGAAAAACATGTTAAGACTTGTAAGAAATAACAAAAGGTGAAATGAGCAGAACCAAGAGAACATTATATACAGCAACAGCAATATTGTTAGAACAACTGCGAACAGCTAAGTTATTTTGGGTATTACAAATACTCAAATCAACTACATAGGACCTATGAAGGAAGATACTATTCAGCTCCAGAGAAAGAACTTATAAATAGAAGTGTGTGCATATTTATATGTGTGTGTGTGTGTGTGTGTATATGCACACATATATATAAATATAAAATGGTTTTACATATATGCACATATCTGTGTCTATTGGTGAACTTCTCTAGTGTGGGGTGGGGAGGGAGGGAGAAAAAAAAATAAAAGACCACAGCAGAGAACAAAAGAAAACTCAGAAGGAAGCACAGAAAGGCAGGGTGGCTTTGAAAATGATGTGTAGTATTTATAACATAGTTTTTCGAAAAAGTAAACCGTGTGAAATGGAGATTCATGGTTTCATACTGAAACCTCTCTTTGTATTGTGCTGTATAAATAGATATTTTTTGTTTTTTTGTATTTATGTTCAAAATTTAAATTAAAAAAAAAATCAAGTTAATTTATCCCACATGAAAATTATTCTAGAAAAAAAAGGTAAATGTCAAGAGACACAGGAAAACAGATCTACTTTTAAAATTCCAGGCTCTATCAATATCAATCTATCTTTGCAAATGAAAAAAATTTTACTTTGGTAATCTGCAGTCTTCCATGAATACCTAAAGAGCATTAAAAATTATGCTTACTATGTAACCACAGACTTCATCACAAGTCTGTAATTTTCATTCTATAGTCTAATCCTACTGGTCACACAGACCGGCTCTTAAGTGCTCCTGGCTTTTTTTCCTAACCTCTCCATCCTGATGGCTTCTGTTTTACGAAGCTTCTCTTCCCACGTCTCATTCAATTCAGCAATGATCTTCTCAGATTCCTGAGGGGAGAAAAGTCCACAGCTAAATAAGAAATAACATATGAAAGATAGCCTCCCCACCCAGAGTACTGAGGATTCATACCTGTTAACAAGCCACTAGCATCATACATTGATGACTTCAAGGGCAACAGGAGGGATGGTTTTTAATGTCTTTAATGGCAATTGATGAATAAAGGTTTATTTTACATTTCTGATACCTTTTCATTAAAAAATTTAACACTTAAAAAGAGTTCTATCACTTAAAAAGGTTTGTTAATCCCTTCACTTCTTCAGAATAATCACATATATAGCAAGACTCATTCCATGAGTCAAGGTTTTATTATACAGATGCAGCTTTTCCATTACCCTCATTTTGCCCAAATATGTTCTCTCTTAGAAACAGTTTCTTGACTCTCAATCACCAAACATTCTCAGACTTTTCATTTGAAAAATACTGCACAGGGCAAACCAAATGTTATCTAACCATAGCATTAAAATGCAAGAGAAGATAGGTCTTCCCCAAAGGAACTCTCACCAATCATAAAACAGCAGCAGCACTAAGAAACTTAAGCTTCAATCGACTGCTGTAGTATGTGAAAGATACATCAAAATCCTTTTCTCTCACGAATAAAACTGGAGAAAATGGAAAACTTTTTAGCTGCAGGTGAACTGAAAACAGAGTAATGACTCAATAATTAAAAGTTATTCAGATTACTCTGAGAGGAGGATGAAGGATTTCCTCTTCTAATAAAGAAAATTCATTTATTGTAAAATATCCCAGAATAGCCAAGCCATTGTCATTAATTTATTCCCTTGGCATTTGTCACCATATTCTATTATAAGAAACACATTCCTAATCTCCAAAGATTTGATGTGGTGGAAAGTACATAACAATCAGACTTTCCCTCCTCTTTTTTCCCTTTCCAAGAGAACTAAATGTTTCTTTAAAACTTGCTGGGAACTTTCTTCAAGGAATTAGAGATCTACCTCTAAAGTAATTTGGTGGGTGGGCTCTGATACCTAAGCTTTACAGATAGATTACTTTCATTTGTTTCATGTGACAGTATTTTAAGACATGGACCAAAGTAAGCAGCAAGCTTCAGATGAACATTAAAGCTTTATCATCAATATCTAACATTTAAAATTTCCACAAGGAGACAGTGTTCAATAATAAATCCTATAATAGAACTTTAGTGCTAAAACAGTATTATGAGATCAGATAGTCCAACCCCTTTCATCTTACAGATAAGGAAACTAGGTTGTTCAGGAAGGATAAGCGACTGGCATGACACCACATAACCATTGTCAGAGGTGGGATCTGAACACACCAACTTTGAGATCTTTCCCAATAATTGAATATCAAGAATTCTGAAGGTTTAATTTGATCAAATCTATTACTGAACTGAAAATCAGATTAGGTTTCATGTCTTGAAAACAACCCCAAAATTTCCCTTTCTTGCTAGCAACACAACTTCTCTCAGTAACTTTATGACTGGAGCACATCATGATAAATGAATTTTAGTAAGGGAAAATGCTTGTCCTCTAACAAATTCACAAGAATCCATTTTTGTAACTTTGCTGTTCAATAGCAGAAAACTGTTTTAGTTAATCTTGCTTTACAAGTGCCCTTCTCTTCTTTTTCTTTGCTGTGTTTTAAAAAATTAATCTTAAAATTAATTGAATTAACTAATTTTAAAGAATTAATTTTCTCGAGGCAGCTAGGTGGCGCAGTGGACAGAGCACCGGCTCTGAAGTCAGGAGGACCTGAGTTCAAATATGACCTCAGACCAAACACTTGACACTTACTAGCTGTGTGACCCTGGGCAAGTCACTTAACCCCAATTGCCTAAAAATTTTTTATAAAAAAAAAAAGAATTAATTCTCTTTTTTCAGAAGTTGCTGCTCATTGTAGGGTAAAGAATATGCAAAATAAAAAGGGGGCTGGAGAAGGAAAATAAGAGGGAACAAGGATAGAAATAGTATAGAGAAGAATTAAAATTCTATCAAGCAAGGATTTCTTTTTTTGTTTGTTAAATATAAATTTTAAAAAGCAACTACCTCCATTCTGGAGACATTATCTTTTTTTCCCTCCAGATCTTGGCCACACACATAAGTGTTCAAAGTATTTGACGTGCTCAGTTCTCAGGCCTAATTTGCTTTTAGTTGTGAAGAAGCATAGCACTTTGAATCATCAAGTAATGAAAAGTGCATTTCCCAGCTGTGCCTTAATGAGAAGCAGTGATTCTAAATGCTGACTGCAAGAGAAGAACTGTCTCCATTAGCTTTCAACATGAAATAAAACCACCCGCTGCCGTGAAGTACTATCTGTCTATTTCTCTATCCCTCCCTGGCATTAAATCTTCTGCTTTATAGAATTTATTCCGGAGGTGAGTATCACAGGATTTCAGAGACTGCCCTGGGCAGATCCATGGAAACAACATTATTCAATGGAATGAGGATAAGAAGTGCAGCAGATCAGCTGAACTACCCTCTGTCTCTTGAACACAGTCAACAAGGCCTGGCTCACACTTTCTTCCTGGGGTTGTGAAGGGGAAAGAAGAGGACAGAAGCAAAGCCTTTTCCCTACAGTAGCACTGAATCTGTTTTGCAGATCAGTGCATGGGTGGGTGGGTAGATGGACAAGTACACAGTTCAGTGTGGAGGCAGTGGGGCCTCATTTTCTGTCCCCATGTCTATCTCAAAGGGTAAGGTAGAAGCATGTGTGAACAGGATTTGTAGCTCTCTTGCTTTTTGTATTATTGAATATTAGAGAGCAAAGTGCTATAATCAGCACAGGATGAAAAATAAGGCAAGATGCAAGAGACAGGCATTCCTCTCATTAGTTAATTTGCTGACATGCTATTCAGCATCAGAAGACATGGTTTTAGCTCCTGAATGTCAAGAGTAACTAGTAGGCAAAAAGGGCATCTATGATATTAGAATTTTCCAAGGGATATTATCTCACATCTATTGGAACGAGTCTGATGACGTGACTACCAAAAGGCTGAGGTGCACAAATTCATAAACACTTAGTCATACATGTGTTTACTGACTCTCCCTAAATGTGATTCTACAGAGAGCCTGCAGCTGCATCTCCCAAACCCAATCTTCCAAATTCTAGCACTTCCTTGTGAACCCCATAGTATTTCACCAGGAAGGACATGACCTCACTTACTGCCAGGAATGAGCCTGGGCTAGTCATGTATCCTCTCTGGGCCTCCATTTCCACACATATAAAACGAAAATTTGAACCTAAATGCCCTCCATGGTCTGAATCTCTAATCTTGTGACCCTAAATGATAAGATAGCTTTTAGATAACTCCAGGGTCAGAAACTCCCTCCTATAATGTACTCTGGCAACTTATCTATAACTTAAAGCTATAGAGAGCTGACAGGTACACTGAGATAGCAAGTGAACTGTCCAAAGTCACAAAGCCAGCATTGTCAGCATCAGGCTTTGAACACTGGTTTTCCTAACTCCAAGGCCAAACCTCTATTCACTAGGCCATGCTGCCTTTCAGGACCTACTATTCAGTTTAAATTGCCACCTACCTTAAGACGTTCAATGGCCTCTTCTCCTCCAGGAGTAGACATGATCCTCTCCTGAATACTGGTCACAGAAGTTAAGCCCACCTGACTATTTAGTGAGCAGGAAGATGGAGATGTTGTAAGGGACCCCATGGATGCTGTGGAAAAATTGCCAGGGCGTTGATTCTCAGAGGCTAGCAAGTACCTATGCTTATTGTTCTGAAAATCTTTCAGATCTGAGAGACAGATAGAAAGAAGGGAAGGCAGAGAAATAGGAAAAGGAGACAAAAGAGGAAAAGGAGCAGAGGAAAAGGAAAAAAAGGAAGGAACACCAGTGTAAGAAAGGAGAGCATTAAAGCGCCAACACGAAGACAAGTTTAATGATTTTAGATGGCAGTTCTGAAACAGTTCTGTCTTGAACACCAATATTCTGGAGTTAAGAACTATAATTTGGTTTAAGATCTTAGTCTTCCAAATATGTTAACACTTCCTAGTAAAGCTCATTAAGTGATATGGCCAATATTGGGATAAAGATATCATTTTGGCCCACAGTATTTTATGAAATCCAAGAAAGTCTAGTAATGTTTTAATTTTCAAATACAACAAAAATCTCAGACTAAAATCTCAATAATATTTTTTGGAACCTTCTTTCAAGAGACAGTTTCCTGCCCAGACAGATAGGGTTCACAGTATCCTATAGAACTAAAAAGGAAAAATTTTATTCATGCTTAGAATTCCTTTTGGATATCTGGTCAATGCTTGAAGGAAGATGAGTTCAGTCTGTTTGTTCTATATTAATATGTATATCATCAATTCCCCTCAATGGAAAAAAAAAAGTATGAATTTTTTAAAAGGTTCAAGAAACAAACCAGTGAAAAATCTATAGCTTTAGAATGAAATCAAGTATTTTCATGCCAGGCCTTTCACCAGTGGAATCTCTTAGATGTGGTTTTATACAAAAAAGAGAAGCGTTTCCAAAAATGAGAGTTTTATAAACTCTAATAAAATGGTTAAGATGCTCAGTATTTTGGCTAATGTCTACAGCAGAGAGGAGCAATTAGCAAATCTAAAATTAAAGTTTAGTTTCCAATTTTGTAAGTGAGCAGAAATCAAAAAGGATAATTATTTCTTAGTTTACATGAGCTCTCTGCCCTCAGAGTATAAGCAAACACGGTGGTCCTAGTTCAAACTTTCATTTTACACTCAAGCTGTAGCTACTGGGTTGCTTTGCACTAGGGAGGCTTGATTCACTTGCATTAGTGATCTGCCATCATTTCTATTATCTCTGTGTCATCATTGCTATTATATTTAAATGTTCTCTAGACTAAAGTCTGACACACGAAGTCACAGAACAAGAGTACAGATTTCTGACATAGCTTGGGACTTTATAATTTAATGAGAATAACAGATAGTACATATTCCCCAAATAACTGGATGAATGTCTATTTTCAAGTGCTTGGTCAACAAGTACCTAGTGTGAAATGCAGGACTTAAGGATATAAATATTTTCATTTATTAAGTTTTACAATTAAATTTATTTTGTCTTTAATAATATACATACAAATAAAACTAGAGTTCATGAATCTGTTATTTGTTCTTCCTTCATGGAACATTAGCCAGCCAAGTTTCAGACATAAAAAGGACAGAGAAAATCCACAGGTGTGAGTTGATATGAACTCATATAAAAGTAAGAAGTAGGTCAGTGTTTATTCTGATAAAATATATGACTTGCCTAGAATTAAATAAAGTAACTGGACATGTTTCCTCAAAGGAACTAATTATGACAAGTGCTAAACAATAAACTTGGGCTTTATTTCTGCTCACCCACTCCTGGAAGTCTATTTACTCTAAACTCATCTCTGAGGCCCCCCCAAAAAGAGGTTGCTTCAAGTCAGTTTGAAAACCGCCATCTACAAATACAGGAAACAAGAACACAAGCCAAGAGGCTATTTAAAAGGGCAGCGGGGGAGAAAAAGAGCAACTGAGCAGTCGGGTAGGTGGAAAAGAACATAAGGAATTTGATTTGAAAAGTCCAATGGACGCATACACGCCCAAAATCAAATTACAGGAGTAGACCAAAATGATATAGTTGCAACTGACTAGGGTTTACAATCATGTGTTGTTATATAATCAAAACTGAATCATGCATTGCTTTCCAGAAATGCTACTGCTGCCAAGGAAAGAGTTAGACAAAAAGCACCTTAAGCACAGAAGTGAGGACCAGATCAAGTCGTGACCACACTGGTGTCATTCAGTTAGGAAATCTCAGACAGAGATGTTCTACCCAAAAGTAAAATACTCATTTTCTAGTGAGAGTATTATGTGAAGTCAGCATTTAACCACATCACAGCAATCAACTCAACACTGGGGCCTTAATACAAGTGACCAAGCATTACTGTCCCTTTAGTCTGCTTCAGTTTCTTAAAATAAACAAACAAAATAACAGTAATCCTCTATGCTAAGACACTATTCAGAATGGTAGGAATGAATGAAGCCTACTGAATACAGAGAGAAGAGCAAAGGATGATGCTGTCTTAAAATGTTCCCTCTTCAAACTTTAAACTTATCTTCTAGACTTTACGACAGACTTGCCCCGGCTTTGTTTTGGTTTGTTTTCTTTCTCCAAACAGAGGAAATAGAAAGCTACTCTAAACATGGAGTAGAATGATCATGGATCATAGGTTTACAGAGAACTTATTGATCATCACATCCAACCCTCTCATTTTACAGAGAAGGAAAGGGAGAACCCAAAAGATTAAAGGACTTGCTCCAAGTCCCATAAGCAGGAAGAAGCCACAATGGGATGTAAAGGGAAGCCTTCTGACTCCCAATCTTTTCACTACATCATGCTGCTGTTAAAGGCACCACAGGGTGAAGTGGCCAAACAGCCATTGCAGACACAAAGGGCTTAATGATGCTTTAAAGCATGAATAGTCTTTAGACTTGAGGAACTGAATTTAGTCCTTTTAACCTTCAGAGCTGTGCAAGCTTAACAGGGTTTTCACATTAACTAACAAAGCCCTGAGATAAAATAAAAATAATCTCACATTATCTGGGATTTTATAACTACAAAATAACATGAGAGAAGAAACAAGCCCAGTGATAGTGTTAGGTCCTTCAACTTTGTACAAGCCACAAATTACACTTAACTGAACTTTACTTTGATACACTACTTTTTTTTAAAAGGAGGATAATTTCTAATTCTTCATTAAATGCTCTGTCTGGGATTTCCTTGTAAGGATTGCTGGCATGCAAAGCTAATTTTAAAGCTGACCCAGCACAGGGATACTAGCAAGTCAGGGCACTAGAAAGAACCAACACACATGATACACACATTTGACTCCACTTCCAGAGTAATCATCGACCAATGGATCAACTGAAGGTAAGCAGGAAGGAAAATGAGAAGTATAAAGTTTATGTTCAATGGTGACACAGATAGAGAATAGAATGGTATTTGGTTAGGATGAAAAATTTACACTACTTATAAAACCAATCACACAAATTTTATACACCTAAGAGGTAAATCTAATCAATGAGAGCAACTAAACATGAAGAGGACTTATAGAACCAAACTGGATTCAAATAATAATTTTAATTCATTAGTAAACAAAATAATCTTGAAATAACTTTGTGCCTAAAGAAACAAGAATTTACCAAAAAGGTAAGCAATAGACTCCAAACCTGAAGAATTCATTAACTTGCTTAGTAGGATCTTCAATAATGAGCCTAAGGTTAATCCTGGTACTATATAAGTTGAGTTTGCAAGGAGTACAATTTCTCAATATTTGAATTTTTTTCCTATAAACAAAATGAGTTTTTTCCAACCCAGTAATTTCACTGGAGACCTAAAATAGGATGAGTGACAGCTAATAAACATTGCACTGTGCATTCTCTGGAGTCAAACAATGTTGAGATCCACCAACCTTTTGTCTCAGACTATTTCACCCAGACCTCTTTCTTAGCAAAAACATCTCCCACCACCAAACCATTTTCTTTAATCAACGGATCTTTGATGCCCTTCAGAAACACCAGCCCTGAAAAGGCAGGGAGTGAACTCTACAAGGTAATTCTCAATGGACTTACTATCAATGATATCTCCCAGCCCTTGAGCGCGTAGGAGGTCTTTCAATCTTGTGACCTCCTCCTTCAGTTCACGAACAAGTTTGGCATTGGGATCTTCATTGATGACAGCATTGCATTTAATTTGTTTTGCACGATCTGCATATCTGTATTTCAAAATGAAAACTCATTTTATTTATCTGATCAGGTCAACAAACCCTCAAATTTCCAAAGGCATAATCCTATCATTTCAAAATAAAATGTTCTGCATATTCTAATATTTTACTAGTATTATTAAGGCCAGAAAGGTCCAAGTCAGTTTAAGCTGTTAAATTGTTCAAAACTGGAAAGATAATGCTCTGCTCATTATGGCAGGGGTTTTTTCTAATACCTATACATTCTTATCTGCATTTTCCTCCATTACTTGGTGTTTCTGACATGACATACAGCAAATGATAAACAGGGATAATTTTTTTTTTTGGTAAAGAAATGAACATCTCAAGATAATCATTTACCAATATCTAACAAATTTACATAATCAACATGAAAATCTTTACTCTGATTATGGATGAGTACAAAGTCATTGACTCTGAAGAAAACCAAATCCAGTAAATCCCTATTGTAATACTAACATCAGGGAGTAAGGAAGTGATCTATAGAATTTTCCTACATGAGGTGTGCCATGTCATATGTAAAAAGAAGACCAACAGGACAAAAATTTCTAGTTCTTCAGGGTAACTTATGAAAGAGCTACATTATCTTGCTTAACTCACTCAGATCAGTATACCTTAAAGTGCTCAGAGTTTCATCATAGTTGATATCTGCTGGGCTAAGGGCAGCAACCATTGCAGTGCGAGAGTTCCCACCTAGAAAGATGAACCATCAATTACCTAAAATCACACCGTTCGAGGAAGGTAAAGAGTTTTATTCAAAACGTCACTGTCCTAGTTTACTCCATAGGTAGTGCAGCCATGATGATCTAAAGGAGTAATAATGTGCTGAGTGTTTATTAAAGCATATTGCTTTTCATTTTCTTGTTTTTCCTGGGGTTTTTTTTCAACATGGCCAAAATAGAAATTCATTGTGTAGAACTCCATATGCATAAAGAGCATATGCCTTCCCAGGTGAAGTAGATGCCTGACAAAAGGGAGGGAGAGAATTTGGAACTCAAAATTTTAAAAAATGACTGTCACAGATAAATATGTGAAAAGTGGAGGGAAAGGAGTAATAATGTGCAAATCCAACAAATGTAATAAAGGTAAAGGTGAAAAGGGCTATAAAGCACTGAAGTCAGGTTCTCAAAATTACTGTCGGCCCACCAAATTACAAAGTGACTAATCTTTGCAGGGTGTGTATAATCCTAAAGCGGTGGTCACACGAGCCTTACCTAGATTCTCTCGAAGGAGCCAAGTCAGAACAGAATCTCTATATGGAATAAAATCTGTTTTTTTCTTCTTTTTACTCTATTAAAAAAAAAGAATCATACTTACAAAGCCATTGAAAAGTAAAAGACTTCTAAAAAATGCAACCAATTCCGAAATTCTCAGCAAGTTAAATGCTTATCTTTTCCCCATGTCTAATCAGACACCTATCACAGAACTAATGGCTAGAACATACCAAATGGAAAGTTAGCACTGAACAGGAACAGACAATAAGCTCTGAAAAGCTGTCTTCACAAAATAGGCACAATGCAGTGCCTTGCAAAGATGAGGTTCTCAATAAGTATTTATTAATAAAACCAACTGCCAAATGAAGCTTTAAAAAGTCCCTTTCTAAAGGGAAGAGAACCATCTTCCCAACAACTAGAGAACTCTACAATCCACTTCACGCAGAAACTGTAAGAATAATAATAATCTGAAGTAGATTTAATAACCCAATAATTCAATAATATTCATTTAAGCATGAAAAATCTGAAGTAGAGTTTTTTTTCCCCTTAATAGGAATTTGAAAAAATGTTCACACAAAAGTAAAAACACAGCAGCAAACAGGTTTTTCTACGTTTTGGTGAAGTTTTTCAAGTCTCTGCACAAAGATGGCTATAGCTCATATGAAGTTAGTTTTTAGAAGTAGGGAGAATACAAATAAACCTATATAATCAAGATGTAAAGGTGTAATTCTATATAAATGCTGTCCATATCCTGAATCTTTTTGTAATCAACAAAAAACTATTAAGGGGCGCTTATTTTTTTAATCTGCTATATTTGTGTAAAAAAGTATAGTTGAAGGTCTATCATCTATAGTTACAGTTTAAAATATCATCAAAATTATTTGTGGTTGACTCTGCCAAAAGGTATTATTATTAAAAGTACAAAACTCATCTAAATGTTACCTAGCTCCTCTGAATTAGAAGTACAACTCTAGGGCCATATCATTAGAAAGCAAAAACTTCCTTATACATTTCTCTGCTATCTTTAATTTTTAATTTCTCACTCTAGCTCTAGCCCAACGACTATTAAGTATGGTATAGTAGTAGAGATTTTAGTGTTTCGTCTTACTATTTCTGGCCACCCCTAATGGTGATCCTGATTATGAGCATAAGAAAACAACTAACCAAAACATTTGTGAAGGTTACAGCCCTAACTCATGCCTTCCTACACCCTGGCTGACCATCTGGAATCACAGCAGTTGATTTAACAGCTCTCTGTTCATCCCTGCCAAGCCCCACCATACCTTGCTGGTGCAGTTATCCTAAAATCGGAAGCATTCAAAGAAGAGAAAAAGAACAGAGTAAGCTTCTGACTATAATAAGAAACAATTTAATTGTAAAACCTGGAGAGAATTTACAGTGAATATTGTCTTTCTGTAGACAAATAAGTAAAATTCTCTTTGAGACTCAAAAGCAATAGTCAAAGAGGTCAAGGCATACAGAGTTGGACACTTTCTTAGTTTTTCATTCTAAATGCTGCATACACATATAAGAAAATTACTATAGATACACTGTTCTGCTGTCATGGCACCGGATGGAGAAGGGAGAATACATGGCCCTCAAAATTGCCAGTATTCCCAAAGAGCCTTTAGGCCAACCAGTTCCAAAAACCTCAACAGACAATCGAAGAAGACACTGGATAGCAGACATGCCATCTTTAATGTGGTGCAGAGGAAAGAGCCCTAGCTCAAGACAAAGGACCAGGGCTCAAAACATACTTCTCCTGTTTGCTACTCATGTGACTCTGGAGTAGTCACTTTATCTCCATGGCACTCAGTTTCTGCACATGGAAAATTAGCTAGTTGATCCAGATGGCCTCATGAGGTCCATTGCACCACTGGCTCTACATTTTTCCACCCAAGGTGTGAAAGGGAAATCAAAGTCAAACTAGTCAAAGAAGTTCTGTCTTAGACTTTGCTTGTCCGGTTTCTTTCACACTTCGTAATCCTCTTCTAAATCTTTTTCCTAAATCTTATTATTAGATTGATATCTGGGTGTTGCTTAGGGAGTATGTAATCTAAAAACCTGTAAGGAATTGTTAAGTCTTATGTTACCTAGAGAACAAACACCTAAAATTGATGAAATAATTAAATAACACTATGATATTACTAGTATGTATGTTAGCAGATTAGACAAATTCTTCCCTTAGAACAGAGTACTGAAAAACTTACCACTTCTGCCAAGGCTGAAATGACTTTGCCCAGGGTTGTAAGAGATTTATTGATATTTGCTCCTTCCTAGAAAAAATAAACAACAAACCAGAAGAAGTTACAATGAGGAACTTCAGATATTCCAATGTGCCATTCTCAGTACTAGATTACAATACATTAAAGAAATTTCTTTTAACATAGTACCACTGATTCTACCAAAAGCTATTTTTTTAAAGTGCAAAAAATAAAAATATAAATAAAACTAGTTCCTGTAAATAAAAGAAAAATAGAATAATGAACAATTTCTTCAAAAGACAAGTGGAGGGATCATTAAAAGAGGTGATGGGGGCCCACAGAAGTGAAATGACTTCTTCAGTCATGTAGGTACTAATTGTTGAATCATTTGCATTTAGGACCAGAAATTCAAGCGACATTTTGATTTTCTTAATTTTTCCTCCACTCCATTTGTTAACTTATCGGAATGGGCTCTAGGAATCAGTCTAGATTCAGAACAAGGCCACCTTCTAAAGACTTCAGGCCTACATTGGAGTCCCAAAGCATAACAAGCTTAAATGCAGGATGCTACACTTAGTTACCTCATCCAAGCTGATGTCCAACCATTCCCTTGTATTTACTCATCTGGGTACATGCTGTATCCCTCCATAGAATGTAAACTCATTTAGGTCACAGACTGGGTTTTTATGTTGGGGCCAAGAGGGTTTAGCCTTATCTCCAGCTTCCAAAAGAGTGTCTTGCATATACTAGGTAAATAAATGTTGAATGGAATTCCTTATTATTCATTTTCTTGGCTACCTAAACAAGTCTTCTCACATTTCCTCAAATTAGCTCTGCTCAGCTTAGAAATACCATAGCGCATAAAGCAGTAAGCCCACAGTGAGGAAGACCTAAGTGCAAATTCAGACTCAGAAACTATCTGTGTGACCCTGGGCAAGCCACTAGACCGATTTGCCTCAGTTTCCTCAATTGTAAAACGTACAATTGAGGAAACTGTAAAATGGAATAATAACACCACCTCTCTCCCTCCTCCCTTATCTCCTCTTCCATAGATTTGCTACTGCTGTGGCCTAAGAATGCCCTCCCACTTTTCTCCACCTATCCAAAGCCTTTCTATCCTTCCAGGTCCAGGCCAAATCCTACTTTCTCTCCATGAAATACTCTCCCAACTAGTCTAACACGTGGCTGCCACTATCTCTGCACTTTTATGACATGCTGTCTAGCGCACTCATTTTGGCACTACCTTTTAATGTTAACAAGAGTAATAAATGCTTGTTAAAGTAAACCTAATTACCTTTAAGCGAGTCCCCTTGGCACCAGTTGAGTCAGCTCTTTCACTCCCGGCCAGATCCACCAAACTGATCTTGCTGACCTGGTAAGGAAACACACATCATCACTGGCAACATATATAATCCATAGGAGATCTACAGAAAGCAACTGAAAGGGCAAGGGAATGGATGCAATTCCATAGGAAGAAACATTTAAAAGGGGAAATGATTCTATCTGTAAAGCTGAAAGTTGAGAGAGCAAATGATCAAGGTCTATACAATCATAAAAGTTGTGGATAAAATAGTGATTTATTCACAAGATTTCCAAATAGTTAAATTCTTGAACCTCAAAAAGGTCATTTTTTAGGAAATATTTGACTACATTGGGCATAGTAATTTTATAAATAGCACTGTAGAGTCTCTGAGTTGGAAGGAATCTCAGAGGTCCTATAATCCAAAGCACGGATTATAGGAATCTAAAATAAGACATCCCTGACAAGTGGTCAACAAGTTTCCAATTAAAGAATTCTTGCATCAAGAAATCCCTTTTTAAACAGTGCTAATTATTAGGAAATGTATTTTAAATTGAGCTGAACACTTCCTCTCTCCACCTTAATATGATTGTTTTGAGGCCTATCTTATTATAAAAATATGTAGTCTTTCTTTTGTGTGATAATTCTTCAAATATCTGAAGATGGCTAAAGTCTCCCTTATCCAGGCTAACCCAACACTGTCCTCAAATTCTCTGGGGCTGTTTTCTCATCTACAAAAGGAGGGAGTGGGAGTCAATGGCTGTTAAGGGCTCTCTTTTAGCTAAAAATGTATGTTCCTGTCTTATACATAAATTTCATGGTGGCACTATCACACCTCAAATACAATAGGTCTGTGCCACCAAACAGTTAATGAGGCAATCATTAAGTAGTCAATGTCAAGCAAAAAGCCTGAAAAATTTCTGTTCAGAAGGATTGGTTCCACTTTCTGTCATATGGTAGCCTTCAAGACTTCAAGTTATGAATTCTTATTTCCTGACTTCTCTATCTCAAAACTAATGACCAAAGAATGACCTGAAAAGTCAAAGTAACCAAATGAAATACTTCAGGAAAAGTCGGAACAGCAACCTTTTCCCTTTCCATGGGACATATACAGCAAAAGGCGAGTCATTTTCCGTAGTTCTTGTCCTTGTCCCACCCCTCAAAACCCACTCACTACTGTTCTTCCTACCTTCTCTGTTGAGAGGTCAGTTTCAGAATCATGTTTCTTCTGAGTAAAAACAATGGTGAACACAGCATGGGAACGGCTACTAGTCTCATTCATGTTGGTAGCTGCCACTGTCCTAGATGAAAATATGAATATGTAGACTTAGCACTGGATAGAGTTCTTGAAAAGTAAGAAAAGACAGCAGAGTTCAAGCTACAGGCCAACAACTTAAAATACTTTAATCCACTGTGTATAGCTACTCATTCTCTGAACTCAAAGAATCATCTTTCACTCCCAAAGACAACTTAGCAGAGCCTTTTTATACAGTCTAGCTGCCACCTTATAAACCACTGAAATAAATAATTTTTATTGATTATAAAGTGTTCACTTATTCGAGAATTTATTCTCTCAGGCATATTAAGACAAGATGATGACTAATAATTTACTGTATACCACTTAGGTGCAAAATGCGTGCAAGAGAGCCACCTAATCAAAGAACTGATGTATTACCTGAGTGAGGGATTTCAATGTGAATGGTAAGGGGAAAGAAAGAGAATAAGCTTTTCTATAGCACCTGTTATGTGTCAGGTGATGTACTAAGCACTTTTGTTATCTCATGTGAAGGAAGGTAAACTAACATAACACAATAAATTCCTCTAGCAGACCAGGAGTTCATAAAATTTCACATTAAAAGCAAATTTCAGAGCCAAGAAGACATTTTTGGTTCCTCAACAGGGAGCAAAGGGGTTCACATTGTACCCCTACTTTTTGCCCATACCTGGCTTTGTTCCCAGCATCCATGAGGTCTGCAATATCTGTATAAGAAGTAACTGCCAGCTTAGATAAGTCTTCCACATAAGGTCCAAGAAGAGGATGCTCTCGGACTCTCAAATTACCCTTGTTTTTTGGATTCAGCAAATCCCGTACCCTCTCACAGTAAATCTCCATGTAACTCACCTATGAATAAATAAGAGAAATCAATAAGAGGATTTGTTTTGGGTTTTTTTTGGCTAGGCAATGGGGTTAAGTGACTTGCCCAGGGTCACACAGCTAGTGTTATGTGTCTGAGGCTGGATTTGAACTCAGGTCCTCCTGAATCCAGGGCCAGTGCTCTATCCACTGCACCACGTAGCTGCCCCTAAGAGGATTTGAAAGAGATTGCTGGAGCTGGAGAAGGTGGAAGATAATGGGATCTAAAACTAAAATTTAATTTAAAAAAATAAGAGTTTTACTGAATTCAGAAGAATACTATGCTCATACTAGGACTAGGTCTAAGACCTTTCGAAAAGCGAAGTATGAAAGGTTCCACTCCCTTTCTTTCTGGTGTGCCCCCCAAAAGGGAAGCAAGACTCCCTGCAGAGATGAGATGTGTGTTAACAGTGGCATTCAATGCCATGATGGCTAGTTGGAAGGAGAGGGAGAAGAGCAGCAACTAGCCTTCATGACATCCAATTACCACAGCTAACATCCACAGATGGGAAGATCACAACTTTGTGCTGTCAGCAACAAAGGCATTTTAAATGTCAACTTATGAGTAACTGGTAGACATGTTTGTCTGCAGGAGGACTGAGAAAGAACCCTCAACGCTGCCTCCATTTCTCTTTCTTCCACTTAGTTTCCTTCATCTGACCAGAATGGTTTTTAAAGTCATCACCAGATACTAATGAGAATATTCTAAACTGATGGCCTGGAAAGATATGCTTTTTGGTCCACAACAAAAAGTAACATGATAAATTCTCCTCTCTATATCAGTTTACTTCAGGAGCTAAAAGGACTCCAAATCAAACCAGTTAGCCCTTGGCCTTGCTGCCAAGGTACCAGGAAGGTTGAGTACCTTCTTCTGTAAAACTCTACTTTTTGCACATGTCAGCAGCCTAAAGGTCTGCTATTTCAGCTTTTAACCTTCAACCAGTATTAAATAACACACATGATAAAGCACTGTATAGTTCATTCAGAATCACACAGTGTGGTCACTGTGGTCCAATATAAAAGAAAACTACATATTGTTTCAATTTGTAAATTCAAATATTTTATCAATGTTATTTCTTTCTTTCTTAAACTAAATTAAAAAAAAATTTCTGTTCCACTCCTTCCTCGCCCCTGCCCCAACCATCGCACCCTATTCTAATCAGGGAAAGAAAAGGGAAACAAAGCCCTTACAACATACACCCAAAGTCAAGAAAACAAATTCACACATTGAGAATGTCTCAAAATATATGTCTTATTTTCCATACTTAGTCCATAAATTCTGTCCACAAATTCTATAGACAGAATTTATCCACTATTCCTGAGAATCAATTATGAAAAAAGCAATTTGCCATGGGTTGTTTCCCCCCCCAAAAAAAATAGCATTTTAGCCTTAGGACTAGATTTGGAATATTCAAAAGCTGACTTCTGATTGAAAATATTTGTAGAAAACCATGTCCCTCTTTCTAGATACATTATCACAAGGCTGTATTCTTTAAAATTTACAACTGTTAACACAACTCAAATAGGTAAAAGGAAAATGCCCAAGGTAGTTAAAGGGAGATCAATGACAGATTGGGCAAGGCTTACAGGCTCACCACAGTATAATAAACAAGAACAACATTCTTTTGAAAGAAAGGTGGTATGATATCTGAGAGTCAGACTAATCCTATTATACTGATTTTTGTGACTTCAGCAATCAAAATATAAAATAATGGTAATTAAACAACATTTTAATAAAAGCAAAGACAGGCATATTGTTTAAATGAAGATCAGTAGTAAGAGATTGGTGAACAAAAGGAACACCAACATTTCAAAATCAATATTATTTAGCCATAATTGCATCCTTCCTTCACTTTTTATTTCCTCTGTCAAGATGCTAGTAATAGGGAACCACATATTTTTAAAGGGACACATATTATCTCCCCCTACTATTAATTCATGATCACTCTGTATTTACCAAAAGGGAGAAATCATTATAACTAAAAAGATATTTGTGCCTCTGTCTGCCCCCAGGAGCAAAGAGCAGAGCCTCCACAAGGCTCCAATGATAGGTCAGTCAGAGAATAAAGGATGAGTCCCAGGAAAATGTCAAAATATGGTCTCATGCCTTAAACCAAGATTCTTGATAAAAAATTATGTACAACTAACGCAGCAGACCAACATGCTATACTGTCAGCTCAGAACCAAAACTAGGAGAGAAAATAAGCTTTAGTTTTGGAGTTGGAAGTATGAGACTTAAGATAAACTTTGTCCCCCACAAAAAAAATCTCCCAGAACCTGTTTCTCCTGGCTGCAGAAACATATATTAATGGAGTATTTAAAAACATGAAGGATGTAAAATTTACTTAACCATAACATTTCCAAGTGTCAGAGTTTTGTGAAATCTGTACCAGGGAAGACTAATAATCTTTACTTCTATGAAAGACCTTGTCTTCTTAACTTTGGCTGAAACAATCAGAATAAAAACACTTCTCAAGTTCTGAACAAGGCAATCTCTCTTGGCAATGTTCTAGACTAGAACATGGAGTTCTCAATTCCTATTATTTAATTCCATACTTGATCTAGAATCTAGTAAAGTAACTACCATTCACAGAATTTTAGAGCAGTAAGAAGTTTTACCTTAGTGATTATCTAAATCCCATCAATAGTCAAAGCTATCATTTTATGGATGATAAAAAAAAACACGGAAAAGCTAATTAACTTGTTTGAGGTCTTACAACAAATTAATATCAGAATCTATCTTGGAATCCCCAGTATATACCACAGAACATTTCATAAAAGATTGCTGAATTAAATATAACTGAATTAGGACTAGAATTTTAGTCTATTGACAACTACATTTCCATTATATCACATTATGTCTAATAAATAATAATAAACAAATTAGATATAATCATAGAGAATGTAAAACTGTCCTAATTTAAACTCCTAAGGTAGGGGTCATTGTCATAAAAAGGGCAGGAAATGAATTTGATTCCAAATGCTCAGATATGCAGCTACTGCTGACATTTCTGCTTTCAGTCTAGTACTACTCACCTCCACAGAGTAAGACATTTCCTCATTACTGTTATCATTGATTTTCTCAAAGAGTTCCTCACATAACTACAGAAGCAGAAGAAGATAAAAGCCATGAGTCAAATATATCAACATTTAAAAAACACAATTATGACCTGTGTATCTTTTTTTTTTCTTCCCGAGATGAATGATACTAACAGCACTCTTTGAACAACACTCTATCTTTAGAGAAAACGAAGAAGAAAGTCTTGGAACAGATTATCTTCATTTCTCCCATGTAGTCTTGTTTCCCCCATAGGCTGCACCTTACCACTATTGTAAGGTGCAGAAAGAGCTTGTTGGAAGATAGACTATAAAGGGATTCCACTCAATATGTTTGATAACAATCAGTCACATTAGGTGACTGACAATAAATAAATGGAATTGTAGGAAAATAAAACAAAAACTTTAGAAGAGATTGAAAATTGACCATTCATTCCCACTACCTGTAAAACCAATGGTCTTTTTTGTCATTGTTAAAATAATCCTAAAATTCTAATGGTCTCCCATTCGCCGTGCCACTAAAATCAAATCAATATTAAATTAGTCTTACACATGTTAACAATCGCTAATAAGTATAAGTAGGGTTTAATGGGTACCCTACAAGATGACAGGTTTTATTTAATATGAAAGCAATATGTACCAACTATCAGGAAAAAAAGATAAAATAAGGTTACAAAGAAACTACAATAATAAATAATTTAAAAGACAAAAAAGAATATCTGTATGATGAAAATTTTAAATGGGATTACCATTTGTAATCTAATTTGCCATTCCCAGAAACTATTAATGAGACTACTTTTGAATATAAGTAATAACAGTAATTATATAAACTGAGAAGTTATAAAAATTGATATTCTTTTTAAACACCACAGCCATTTCTTGACATGCCTCCCCCTCTAATAAGTCCTCCTTTGAAAGAAAGAAAAGTAGAGAAAATGGAAATTTTTCAAAACTTTTTTCACTAATTTTGCTCATCTAAATTCATGGAGGAAAAAATCAAGACAAATAAGTACTAATGTTATTTATTCAGAATTTTCACGGTGGTGAAAGGAATAATTTGTCTGCAGGTCTCACCTAACAAAATCTCCCCAAATATAAATATGCTTTGTTTACATCAAAATTGGAAATCATAGATAAATGTTGCACTGGGGAAAGCAGCTACTTGTCTGCCTTACTCTCTGAAATCAAAGCAAGTGTCTCAGCCTTAAAATAAGAAATACCTTAAAAATCATCTAGCATATCTTCATTAAGAGTGAAACCCAGCAAGTTTTCAAAAATGCAAAGACGTTCTCTCTCTGAAACTCTGCCGCTCTTGCAACCCCACCCTCTGCTCCCATTCCTGATAACTTAAGGCCAAGGGAAGAGAACAATTCCTGAAATGAACATTAACAAAAACTTATATAGTGGTAGGTTAATTAACATTCTTTCACTTCAGGGATCTCCAATTCATCTCAAAGATGAACTAATTTCCCAAATGATTTCTATGGCTAGTACTTCCAAACAGTTTTTTCATTGGTTTTACAACGATGTCAGGGTCAAAAACATCAACTGAAGAAAAGAAACATTCTGTCTCCATCAAGGACTTGTTCTTTAAGACATATTCCTACTGTGTCTGAGAATTAAGCATTAAAAAAAAAAGGAAACTAGAGGCTATTCCTTTTTCCTTCTCCTAAACTTTCTTGAAAGTATAAATATGGCATTAACTGTGCTATTATTATTCTTCATTATGAATTAAAGATGAACAAGTATGATTTAGGTTTTGCAACATCATCTTTTTTTAAATACAAGGGAAATATTCAAATCAAAAATCACTTGAAATTTTCTGATATCACAATGTAACATGTTCTGGGTCACAAAGTGTTAATTGTTTTAGTAGTACAACAATTTTCTCCTTTTAGAAATTTCTAGAAAATGTCAAGTGATTACAATACGATAGCAATGACAGTACCTTTATGATATTTATAAATCCACCATGATGTATTTTCAAGGAAGCAGTTGCTCTTCCTCATAAAACATAACAAAATACATTTCATCAGATCCATCCTGCATAGAGTAAGACCTCTATCTACTAACTCTTGTTAAGACAGCAGCTGCCCCCTCAGTATATTCCAATATTACTCCTAGTCGTTGCTTTAAGATAGGCAGACACCTGGTAGAGCACAAAGACCACTAACACTAAAAACCAGGAGATCTTGATTCTGTCTGTAACTCCATCAGCTGACTGACTAGCGGATTTTTGACAATCTTTGTTTTTCAATTTCTTCATTTATAAAACGTCGCAAATACAGCACTGTAGTAAAAATCCAAAGGAGATTCTATGAAAAAAGCAACAGATGTGATTTTGCCCTCCTCTGGGTTTTCATAATACTTACATATGAGGTTCTCTCATGAATTGTATTTGGTATTATAGTTATTTGTGGATGGGTCTAATCTCCTAAGGCATAAGCTCCTTAAGTAGAAGAGGTGGGTATTTATTGGAGTGCTTTACATTTTAATACTTACTAAATTTGTCAAAAGCACTTCAAAAAAATTGACATCTCTGCACATGCACAAAACAGTCAAATATTATTAGGTCAGAATAAAACTACCAAATACAAATACCAAATACCAATGGCATAAAAAAATTAGGTCATTGACTGTGATGAATATGATGGGAGATATTTGTTGAATCTTCCCCTACTCCCCCCATCTTCTGATGACTAATAAACCATAATTTGTCTGCCATTTTCCAAAGTCTCATCTCTTATGGCCACAAATCTTCTTCACAATGTTCTCTACTAGTTTAGGATGATGGTCTTTCAACCTGATAAAATTTTCTTCTCCTCCATCCCCTCCCAATTACCTTCAATTCTAAATTCAAAATACCAACCATACAAAAGAACAAAGGAACTAATAAATACATTCTGGAGCAGACCTGTCTTTATTTCTACATGTAATTTACGCTAGCAGGGGAACAATAAGGAGAAAGATCATTTATTTGTTACTACAATGGAAAAGTTCTCTTTACAAGGTTGGTAATACATAACTAAAAATAACTAACAATATAATTAGTAATCCTAGAAAAAAAATAAAGTTATACTGCAAACCAATCTTCTCATGCGATTTGATTTTACCTGTGGGATGATGCCTGCCTGACTTTCTTCTTGTTTGCCCATCATTGTATAGGATTTTCCAGCACCTGTCTGTCCATAGGCAAAAATACAAACGTTGTAGCCTTCAAAGGCATGCAAGAGCATTTCTTTTCCAATGTCATTGTACACCCGGTTCTGAGATGCAAAACAGGGATCTTCAGGCTACAAAGATTAAAAAGATAAAAATAAAGGATGTTTTACCTTCATGCTTTCATAGGTGTGTAGGACAACTAGTTGGTGTTTGACTAACTGATTCTTGCACAACCCCTCCACCCCCAGTGAAGTAGTCACAGAAAGTAACTGAAAATAAGGAGAAAGTTTGTTTGGTTATCTCCTTACAAAAGGTGGATAAATTTCTCCTTGACTGAACTGGAAGCACCAATGTCACTGGTCAGAAAATAATTGCTCATACTTTGCTGGCCCTTAAAAAAACAATCCAACAGCTCAAGGGTATGGTCAGTTCTAGAGTGTGAGGCATAGTTGAGGGAGTGTAGATACACAATTTCTAGAAAGGGCAGAGACAAGGAGACACATTTACTCAAGATGAAGCTGGAAAAAGTTTCAAGAATCCTAAGCCCTCGCAACAGAAAACAGAATCAACCATGGTTTCAAGGGAGAACTGGCCCTGGCAATGAAGAGTCAATCTGCAGAGAGGTCTCCACAAGGAGAAAAAGAAAATTAAGGCCCTGCCTTCCCAGAGGTCTGATGTGCACTGACCACATGTGTACTCCCTATATATGCACCTCACTCTTAAGTCTGCACCGATCATTCCCACAGAATAGTGGGATGTATTTGCTCCTCTTATCCCCGGTTTCTGAGAGGGATGTTTTGTAGCTATTGTTCTTGCTACATCATTTTAGTAAATGCCTTTCCTGTGACTGAGGTCACTGACTGACTGTTGAGTGAAGCTCATCCTTGAAAACCCAAAAACTATAGTTTTAGCAGTGGGAACCCAAAGAGTACTTCATGGACTTCAAGGTAGTATCTGCTACATGGTTTTTTCCCCTTTCATTTCTATTACCAAGAAAAAGAATTAGATTAGGCACCCAACCAAAGCACTAATATGTCTAGTGACAAATCTCATGCAGCAACTTATGTCTAAGTTTCCTCATAAAATATAAGGTTTAGACTAAATAAACTGTTTCCTTCTACCACTAACATTTTTAAAAATAAACTGTGGCTTTTCGTAAATTCAGTTTAATGCGTGAACATTTCTGTGAAGCTATTCAATAGAATTAATTTCAATTTGCTAGAGCCCTAAACTCTGTCACTAATTCAAAGCATAAAAGTTCCAGAAAGTTTTAAATTGCTAGGAATAGGAAAGGAAAAATTAAAAATTAATCCCATTTACAAAGATGCTTCTTTGAACTTTACAACAAGAATATGTATTGGCTGGCATATGAGTACTCCTATTTAAGGAACTATCAGTGACAAATGTTTCCAAAACTCTTTCAGATAACTCACTCTGGCAAATGGGCTTTGTCAATCAAACCCAGAAAATGAAACTTCTTATTCACCACCATCACCATCACCACAAACAAATAAACCAAAAAACCTCTTAAATACGAGAGAACTTAGTGATGAAAAGCCAGCTCAAATTGGCTGAAGAACAATTCTTGGATGTCAGTAAGGTTTCATGTCCAATACAGTTGGAGTAGAATGTGCTTATGCTACTACCATGATTTTTTTCCCCTGATTTTACATTGGGAACCCACTTTTTTTTCCCAGTCTATAAAACTTTAAAAGATCTATGAGTTAACTAGCTAAATCTAAACTCATGTTCCTCAACTGAGTCTTTTTAAATGTAAGAACTTTAACAGTTCTACTAGAACAAAAATGTAACTTCATAGTTAGCTATGAATATATTCTTCACCTCCTTATTTTCCTTGACAAACATAACGAACTGTCGTTTAACATTCTGTTAATTAGCACTTCGACTTACCTGTGGCAACATCATGATGTTCTTTATACCCCAAGAACACTTAGCACAGTGCCCGGTATATATTTGCTAAAGGAATGAGGGTTCTGAGATACTGCAAGTAAGATCCTGAAATGTCTTAAAAGACTTCCATAAGTTAACTTATGGTTGATACCATTTTAATATACGATATATTTATTGTATTTCAAATCTTTGCAAGTTCGTGATCCAAATGCACCTACTAACAAAATCCTTGATATTAACTGCTTACAAATAAAAAACATGGAAAGTTAACTAGAATTATCCCCAAAGCAAGAAGGTAGTGTAGGATGAGGAGAAAAAAGGAAAAAGAAAGCAAAGGGTAAATCTAAGGAGATCTAACAACAGAGAAATTTCAAAGGCTTGTGCCAGGTTTGGGGGGCACGAGGCCACTCACCGAGGTGTGAGACCAGTAGGAGTAGTCAAAGCTGAAAGACTTTGGCGCTTCCTTTGGGTTCTTTGGGTTGACAATACCTAAAGGAGAAAAAAGTGGGGCTTAAAAAAAATCTTAAGTCATTTAGTCATTAAAACTCTTTGGTTAAACATATCCTCAGCATCAGACCAAAAAGACCATCATGTAATACTGTATGACATACAACGTAAAATTAGATCAGTACAACCATACCACTAAATTTTGATAGGGCATCTAGGTCAGGAAAAATAGACACATTTTTATGAAGTTGTTAGTGTATGGAATAACTTTTAAAAAATCTAAAAATATGTATATATTACAGCAGTTGGCCTCCTCGTAAAAGCCAGTAGCAGAAAGTTGGAAATGGGCCATGTTACTATTTCAAGAATGAAACTAAACTTCCTAGGGCTTGAAACTTTTAGGTCAGAAATTAATGGATTAAAATTTAAAAAAAAAAGAGTAAGGCTACCATCTAACAAAAATTAAAAACAATTATCAGCTCTTTTCATTTACTTCAGAAAGGTATCCACTTTTGGAAGTTGCCCTTAATATCTGGCTGAAGTCCATGCCACCAATAACTGATGTTCCTAAAGGCTTGAAACCCACCCCTCTCCCCCAAAGAACTACAGAAATACAGTTTACTATAAATAGTTAACTATCTTAACATGTTATAAACAGAAGGGAAAATTCTTTTTTTGACTCAATGAGCTTCCACCAAAGTAATTCCTAATGTAAACTAGTCATATTATTCCTAACAGACGGCATGAGAATGCTAAGGCTTAACTCCTTTTTCTTTTTTCGTGCATACAAAGTTTCAGATCCCCATATTCTGTAAGGAGAAGAACCTTCAATACATGGAATCATGTATTAAACCTCAACCAGATGCTGTGTCTCTAAGGCAGGGCCACAATCCAAGGCTATCAGAGATGGAGACAGAAAAAAAGTCTACCACAGGCAGCTGCTTGGGACACAAATAGCAACAGTTGCTACTGTACTTCTCCTGCTTGATTCCACTGCATATGGTATTGCCAGAATCTAACATTCCAACCTCAAATGCAGACATACATGCAGAATGGAGGATTATTATAGCTCACATTACAGTCATGTGACACTTGATCTAGATAGCAACAAAACACACTCACATGAAAGATAACCTAAGCAATGAAATATGCTTCCAGACAAAGGGAAAAGTTTACAAAATTGTCTAACATTACAAATAGCATTTTAATTATCATTCATGGAATTTAGGATTTCGCAAAGAAAAACGCATTCGAAGGCCTATTTTTGTCACCTTTCTGAAACTTAAGCTACATCACATTTTGAAGCTGTCTTTGGCCACAAACCATATAAATATACTGCAAGTATATACTGAGCACTGATTAGGTGCATTTAAGACCTGGATGCTATATACAGAAAATTCCCTCTTGAGAAATTAAAAACACATGCAACAAAGGATTCTACAAAATAACTAGGCATTTATTTTTTTAAAATATATTATTTATTTAATTAACTGTTTGCTAATTACACATAAAACAATTTTGCTCCTTCCCCCCTTAAGAAAGCAAGCAATATGATATCAATTATACATGTGAAGTCATACAAAACATATTTCCTTATTAGCCATATTACAAAAGAAAACATCCAAAAAATCCCAGGAAAAATAAAAAAAGAAAAAAAGTATGCTCCAATCTGCACTCAGGGCTCATCAGTTCTCTCTCTGGAGGTGGATAGCATTTATTGTCTTGGGCCCCTTGGAAATGTTTTGGATCATTGTCTTGATCAGAATAGTTAAGTCTTTCAGAGGTGATCACTATTCCAATATTGCATTTATTGTGTACAATGTCTTGCTAGTTTTGCTCACTTCACTTTGCATCAGTTCATTTAAGTCTTTCCAGGTTTTTCTGAAAACACCCTGCTCATCATTTCTTATAGCACAATAGTATTCCATCAAAATCATTTACCACAACTTGTTCAGCCATTACCCAATTAATGTGCTTCTCAATTTTCAATTCTTTGACACCACAAAAAGAGTTGCTATAAATATTTTTGTACAAATAGGTTCTTTGCCCTTTTCTTTAATTTCTTTCAGATATAGACTTACTAGTGCTACTGATGTGTATAAAGAGTATGCACAGTTTTTTGAAAGTATTTTTTGGGGGGGGGCCCTAGGCAATGGGGTTAAGTGACTTGCCCAGGGTCACACAGCTAGTAAGCGTTATGTGTCTGAGGCTGGATTTGAACTCAGGTCCTCCTGAATCCAGAGCCGGTGCTCTATCCACTGCACCATCTAGCTGCCCCCTAAGAGTATACACAGTTTTATGGCCCTTTGGGTGTAGTTTCAGAACGTTCTCCAGAATCGAACAGTTCACAACTAGACCAATTTCAGCAAAGCTGCAAGATATAAGACACATTTATTCTTTATGATAAGCCAAGGGCTCAATTTTAGTATCTCAACTCAGCCATGGCAAGAATGGAAGCCGTAAAAAGAAAATGCAAAGAAATGTGAATTTTAAATTAAACTCATTCCTTAAAAAAAAAAGAGAAAAGCATATACGTGCAGTGTGTGTGCACTCACACATACGATCTCTTTTTATGCATCCCAATATCATCTTCCTGAGTTACAAACTGACTGATTCATACAAATGTAAAATCACTAGTACTATGCCCATTCAATTTAATCAATTCAACTTCGTGACTGTCTACCACGTCTTTTTCCAATACCCAGAAAAAGAAAGGAGAGGGGAATATGTCTCTCATTAAAAATATCCCTGCCAAGTGATCTAAAACTGTGAAGGATAGTAGCTTTAGTATAAATATCAAGAAACTGTCACTCAAATATCTAAAGCAGTAGACATCCCAAGCACAAAATATGGCAGAGAGATATTTACAACATTCATTGTACCACATCATTGAAAAACTACATGCCAGCTATACCCTTTGATCCAGCAATACCACTACCAGGTCTATATCCCAAAGAGATCATAAAAAAGGGGAAAGGACCTACATGTACAAAAATATTTTATAGCAGCTCTTTTTGTGGTGACAAAGAATTAGAAATTGAGGGGATGCCCATCAACTGGTGAATTTAGACTGAACAAGTTGTGGTATATGAATATAATGGAATACTATTACTCCATAAGAAATGACGAACAGGTGGATTTCAGAAAAACCTGGAAAGACATGTAATGATGAGTGAAGGGAGCAGAACCAGAAAAACACTGTACACAGTAACAGTAACATCATATGATGATCGACTATGATTGACTTAGCTCTCCTCAGCAATAAAATGATCAAGACAATTCCAAAAGACTTATAATGGAAAAAGCTATCCATATGCAAAGAAAGAACTGATGAAGTTTGAATACAGATCAAAGTATACTATTTTCACTTTTTTTCATAATGTTTTCCTTTTGTTCTGTTTCTTCTTTCACAACATGACTAATATGGAAACGTTTTACACAATTGTATATATATAAAACCTGTATCAAATTGCTTACTATCTTACAGAGGAGGGAGGGAAAAAAGGGAGGGAGAAAATTTTGGAACTCAAAATCTTATAAAAATTAATGTTAAAAACTGTCTTTACATGTAAGTGGAAAAATACTATTTAAAAAAAAAAAAGAAAAACTACATGCAAGATCACTGTTTGCCTCAATAGCCAAAATTACAAAACCACTTAGACAATTAGCCAAATCAGTTGCAGCAAACTATTGGAAATTTGCCCTAACATATTTCAAGTCTGTTCTAACATATTTTAGAAAATGATCCTGACTTTATTCACATTCTCTAGTCACTTATCTTCAACTCCCTATAAAATATCTCCAGCTGGATGTACACTCATATAATTGTTAACATTCATTTAATAATTTATATTATCAGTGGAAATGGAGACTAACTGGTCATTACCTTTTTGAAGCTAGGATTTTATATACTTGAACACAGTATTAATAGTTCTCCCAATTCCCTAATGGCAATCCAGACAACATGATCCAGTACAAAGAGCACTGGCCTAGGTAGGAGTCAGGAGAAATGGATTCAAGTCCTGGTTCTGCCAGTATCTGTGTGATGCTGGTCAGGTCACTTTTCCTCTCTGGACCTCAGTTTCTTCATTTGTAAAATGAGGAGGTTAAACTAAATTATACCATTTCGGTGCTACCATTCTATCATTCTGTGAACAATGAACAATTCACAGGTAGCTTTTTTTGGTTCTAGCTATACCACTAACTCCTTACCATCCAATCACCATTAAATTTTTCTGTAGTGCAGTCCTCTTCCCATACACAGTGATACCATTTGAGCATGCAGTCAAGGATCAGAATGAATCACAGAAAGATTTCTATAAATAATTTTTCCTGTTCTACCATGCACTTCATCTGATACTTCACTATAAGACATACCCACATAATGTTTTGATTATAGAGCCCTAGAAAATGAAAAAGACAATCAAAACAGAGTTTGTATTTAAAGGCCCTTTTATTTTTTGAGAACAAATTTGTTTGTGTTATCTCAAAGTCCCAATGTAGCAATTAAACTGTTGTTGGCAAACTAATACTAAAAATTTTGTAGACAACTATAATTAGTCTATCAGCAAGGCAATGGTGTAACTTTAGATTAACTTTTCTAAGAAAATGTTTTTAACCTTTCATTAGCAAGCTCAGTGACATTACCTTCAACGTAATCTCTTTCTTCCAAAAGCTCCCTGTATACAATCCACAAATGAGAAAAAAAAACCCATAAAATATTTGAAGACCAATGAATTTTAAAAAGGTAGAACTTTCTGAGGATCATTACACCAACTATACGCCTAAAAACTATGTTGCATAGCAGGGTCAAAACTGAAACAAAGAATATTCCTGTAAGAGCAACAACATTATAATTTGTGTTTGCCTTCCTTACCAACAATTCAGCAGTGAACAAAACAAACAAAAAACAAGACACAACTAAAAATCTCTAGAATCACTTAACACAACAAAATTTTACTCCACATTCTAGAGCATAAGCATAACTATACTGTACACACTGATTACACAAAGTGAATACACAGCACATAAAATACAACTTT